CACTCTTATGTCCACTCCAGGTTTTTGTTTGACCTTCTGGGTGCCATACTTGAGTGCGTTGGGGGCCGCGTCCTGTGAACGTTGCCTTTGCCTTGTTGACCTTTATTCTTATTTTTTTATATGTCTTACTGCTTAATAACAATTATTTTCCTCACCGTTACACACTATAATAATCCTCGCTCAGACAGTATTTTTTATCAGACCGCTGACGTCATCGTGAATAGTATACCCTTTAAAGGCCCCTTTATGTACCCGAAATGCAATTCTTTAATTTTTATTTCTCAACATATTTTTAGTTAGTCATTGGTCTTCTTCTTCTGTTACTTTCAGGCAATATGTACATATATAAAAACTTAGTAATTTGTATGGAAGTCAAAATATTACTTTGTTTTCATTTTGCTACATTTATGACATACATGTACATATGTATTATGTTTACATTTACCGGTATTTTATTGGTATAACAAGCATCTAACATGCTCTAAACCATTATTTAAAACGTTTAAAAAAAACTTTGATCTTTTAAAAAGGTAAATATTATTAATTTCTGAGTCACAATGTGCCTTTAAAAGGCGGCTGACACATAAATAAAGAATCAACATATTCATGTAAGGCATGATATTGATAAGAGCAAATAGATAGTACCATAGATAGGTGAAATATTTCACATCTTGACAATCGCTTCACATAATATTGACTTGTAAGTGTTTCATTTCCACATTAGTACTCGTTTTTGAAACATAAGGTCATTGGTTATTATGAAAATAATCGAGGTTGTTGACGTATTTGAGAAGAGACAAGATTTTTAAATGTTGTGATGAATGAGGTTGTAATAAAATATTTGTTGTGTGCTTAACATCCTGTAATATTTTATTTGATATTTTTCTAGAAATTGAATTTATGACACAATGCAATGATTTTGTTACTGCGTTATTTAGAATGTCTTGAATGTTATAAAATATGTTTGACTTTTTACTCTAACTTTTCGGCCTTTTCCGTCATTCTTCGGATAAGACTACGTGTATTTATGAAACATTGTCGACATGTTCCGATTGATGTAATATCTGTTTCTGCATCTTAAGTGATTCTATGTTTGCTTAAAATGAAGTTTAAGCTAATTTTTATTTATTGTGTTGTAGTTGTACTAACTATATATTTAAAAAAAACAACATCGAAGTTTATTGCCGTAAACTATTTATATGCTGAATACTTATACATGTCGGTGCATGCAAATTCTATTGCATATATTTGAAAATCCTTGTGGTCGTTAAATGTAAATTGATTTTCTACACAATAAAAGATGGACACTATACAGTAGTTTCATGCAGCAGTAATTTGAATGTCACACCTGATATTAAGTACGCTAGATTGTATATTTTGTGTGACCGGCATTTTGAGGGATCACCTTATTATAATCATACGCCGTTAACTTTGTTTTGTTTCGTTTATAGTTCCTTATTGTTAGGTGATAAATTCATGTCAGTTTACATAGCTGTTACAATAATGTAAATGATTCAGTGTGTAACATAACTTTATCACATAACACATGCCGTTTTTGCTGTCACATTAAAATAGTATTGCACGGCAGGACATATGAGCCGTGTCATGACAAAACCAACATAATGGGTTTGCGACCAGCATGGATCCAGACCAGCCTGCGCATTCGCGCAGTCTGATCAGGATCCATGCTGTTCGCTTACAGACCATTTAACAAGTAGAGAAACTAATAGCGAACAGCATGGATCCTGATCAGACTGCGCGAATGCGCAGGCTGGTCTGCATTCATGCTGGTCGCAAACCTATTATGTTGGTTTTGTCATGACACGGCTCATATATTTTGATGTGACGTCCTTTGCGTCGTTATATGACCATAGCGTAAAGACGCATGGAATGTTAGCGTCACACTATAAGTGCATCGATGAATAAGTAATACTCTTTTTACTGTAATTTGACATGTGATAAACAGAACATTATGGCATATACATGTAAATAAATTATTAATCTAATACCTCCAGTCATTGAAATATACTGAACGAGTTTGTTTTCATTTATTTTTCATTCAGTGAAAATTGTGTTTTTATAATACTGTATTTTAGTAAATGAAAGAAACAAATTGATGTTTTTTCTCTCCGTAACTGAAAAGAGATTTATGAGTCATATACCAGCGTTTCATATTACAAATATTAATATGACGTTACGGCGTCGTTGATTGACGTTGCAATTTTGACGTCAAAATACGTTTCAATGGGGGCAGGTAAAGAGCCTAAAAAATTGACAAATTGGAAATAATGATACAAAAATCAACAAAAACCTACTTGGGACATATTTTTGTGTCATATGCTCAAGTTTTATCAAAATTAAAATTTGGGCCGATTTTCACTAAATTTGAACATACTCCTTTGTTAGATGGGCTGTATGTTTGCAATTTTGCATATAATTAGGTGATTATGAATAAAGCAAGGATGAAGACCAGAAATAAAAAGGTCAATACGTGCGAAATAGCAAATAATGTGTAAATTTTACTCAAAACTACCAGATTTTAAACAAGAGGCGATGACTATGAATTAGTTTTTGACACATACTAGTAATACAAGTTGTAAGGCAAGCTTAATCATTAACGTTTAGTTTAGCACCTTAATCTCACTAATTAAAGATAAAACATACCATTACGTTTATAGGAACATGGTGGGGCTAAGAGTGAGATTTGGTGCACCATTAACCGGTTTAAACTCCCCAGCAGTACTTTTGCTGCTGACCGTTCCAAGGCGGCGCCCCTCAGTGTTCCTCAGATGTATGTCTGTTGTTTTATACTGTTTTGGTGACACTTTTGTGTCCGTTGTTGTTTTCTCGTCTACGGTAAGTATCTTCCCCGTTGCCCCTAGTTTTTATTTCCTTTATTTACCCCCCCCCCCCATGTTGTCCTTCCCCTGTGCCCTTTGACTTTATGGGCCTATTATTCAATCATTTATTTGTTTTCTTTGGATTCCTTATCTGTTGCTAATTATTTTTTCTTATATATGAGTTTAGTAATTAACTTGCCCATGCTCTGCCTTGTGCCCTGTCCTGTTTTTGTTTGGGGTCCTCCCGGGTTCCTTGCCACTGGCTCTTGTTGCTGGAAAGTGTGGGTGTCGCGTTCATTGAATGCCGCCTTTCCTTGTTGATCTTGTTTATTATATTTTACAGTAATTTTGTATGATATTCAAAATACTACTTTGTAAACATTTTTCTATTTTTATGATAAATAGGTTCACATTCAGCGCTAGTTTTATCACGTAATGATCATATAGCATAGCAAGTAAATCTAATGCCCTCATTTAAACGCTATAAATGTATGATTGCCCTTTCTAAAGAAGGAAAACTTATTCTTTTTTAGTATTAATTTTCCTTGAAAGGAAATAAATTTAGTGATTTATTTCTAGGCTTGCTTCGTACTCGCCAAACCTATGTATGCGTTTTAAACCAATAGAGCCAGCTTTAACTTATCTACCATCAACTGACGTATAATGCTTTTGCAATTCAACGGTTTTCTCGTGTTTACATGCATGTTATTATTTCTCATTGACTGAGATTGAACATATAGACATTGCCTTCATAATTGACCTTGTTTGTTGTAGTTTTGACATTTCATTTTCAGCGTGTATAAGAGAAAATGGAAGATTTTTCACTTTAGTCAATTTGGTCCCTTTTTTTGCATACGTAATTATTATTGTTGCCATACACTGGTGACCATCAGACACAAAATTAGTGTATCTTTTCTCTAAAAAGTAGTAAGGCTTGAGACTTATCTAAAAATCTGGAAACAAAGTGATCCCTCGAAAGCAATAATCAAAACAAAATTTCATGAGAATTGCAGACTCGGTTTGATTGAGTCTGTACATGAGGGATAATGAATGCGTGCAACATCCCTCACGCCCCCTAGCACCGGCTTGAGCGGTACTCAATTCTCAACACTCAATAGTGCTGGCATCAATGATCCCGAAGGACCAGAAAAATATAACAAGCCATGATTCGCTATAACTGTACTGGAGGGAAGGATAACGCTATGTGTGAAGTAATCATTTACATCCACCGGATTATCCGCCTGTCTAATTATTGCATACTATCAGATTCTGCCAGGAATACACTGTCATTTAACGTGACACCTTCAAAGAGAATATAATTGACTGAATACAAAGTGTCACTTACGCTTAGGCTAAGTCCGCAAATGGTCATCGCCTCTTCCCCGATTTCGTTTACGATTGTTTGACTTTTTCGATACTTCCATTAAAAAAATCACTAGAAAAAAACACTAATAAACATTTTAAATCATAACAAATTACAGATTATTCAAAATACGATTCATGATATTTTCTTATACTTTTAGCTAGGCGGGAAAAACACACACCCAAACTCCTACCGATTACGTGACCACCCTTCAGGGATGAATCCCTCACTGACCACGTTCATAATACATGTCAATAATGTATGCATTATGTTCTTTCGATAGGTCAAACTGTCGATAAGAAATGTTAGGTTACATTTAATATAATGTCATTCTAATGTAAACACCGGGACGTTCACAGCTTTGGACTCGCATGAATTAAAATTGCACATGTATACATGGCAAATCCTGTCATCGTGGGATCTAATTAAAACGGATTTCAAAACATATGTTTTGGACAATATTCCGACTAACTGGCTTCATTTATTTAATATTTATTTATTCTTTCAAATAAATAAAATAAAACTGGGTCATCTAATGGAAAAATGCACCCTAACCCCACTTTTTCACCCTTACAGCCCTTATCCTTTTAATTCCCATATGGGCCCGTTTTAGTTTATATTATTTCACATTACATGTCCATCTCCTTTCACCCTTTTGCCAACTCCAGGTTTTTGTTTGGTGCCTTCTGGGTGCCCTACTTGAGAGTGTCGGGGGGGGGGGGGCAGCGTCCTGTGAACGTTGCCTTTGCCTTGTTGATCTTTATTCTTTTATTTTTCATTTAAAAAACAACATGTGGCGAGATGCAAATTTTTATTTTTCAGTTGCATAATTAAGTTATTCAAAAATTTCCAATTCTTCATAGAGGACACGTTATTTTTCTATTCTATTAAAGGATATATTTTTATCAATGTCTTTTGATGCACAGGTACGAATCAAAATGAAACTTTGTGTGATACAGTACGAAATGTTCTTTAATTAAAAGATATGAAAGTTTCAAACTTCACAATAGTAACCTAAGCATCAATATTTATATATTCTTGAGACACATCCGGATTTGTAATGGTGCATGGCGTTAAGTACGTTGAATCATTGTTGTCTGTAACGGTTCTGTCACGGACAAATCTGTGATTGGTCTTACTTAATGCCGAGTAAGGATTAGAGTTTGCTTGTGAAATGTTAAGCTCAGTATACTCTGGAACTTGTTGAGAAGTATCACCATCACAATCAGGTGTTTCGTTCATGGCAAGTTTTCTTCTTCTGTGACGATAAAAAATGCATGTATCAATTAAAGATCATTCTTCATTTGTTTTGTTTGGTTTTACGGCGCACTAACACAATTTAGGACATATGGCGCCGAAACAGATATACTAATTTTGGCTAACCTCGTGTGCTACAAACTTAAAGCAACTAAAGCAACACTAGGGCTCAAAAACACCTCATATGCTGGAGCTAAGAGATGCAGACTCCAATAACTTGAACCCATTTAGTCGCTTCTAACGTTCACGTAGGGATAAACAATGGCTGCAATTCTAATGCCTCAAGCTTAAAAGCAACCACTCAGCTACAAATTATTGAATTTTAATTATTTAAATTATTAAATAGAATAATTTGTTAGTACTACAAATGGTGGAGGCATTATAATAACCGTTATTACTGTGGTCAACTCAAAGTCAAAATGTGTGTTTGATTTAATAATAGATATTGAAGTTCAATAACAGATGTCAAGCAATTTTGACTCCTATATACAGGATTTGTTCTTGATCTTAATATGCGTCCTAAAAGAGTTTCAATAAATATGTTGAGTAGACAATTTTTCACACATTTATAGAACTCCCAAAAACATTTTGAAATAAACATTTCATACAATTTAATTTTAGAGAATAGAAAAACAAACTCACAGGCGTACAATTATAACTATAGCAACAACAAGTAAAATGCCTAAAATGCCGACTACAGTTGCTCCTACAATGTACCATGTGTATACAGGTCTTCTATTTCCGGCATCCAAGATTGTTCCTCCAGTGACTTAGTAAATAAGTATTATTATAATTTAACATTGTAAGGTAGAACATAATATCATGACATGCAAGTTATTTTTATTTCCAATTATAAACCATGAGTAATATTCAATTTATCTAAATATAAAATTATTTTGAAAAAAAAAACATTTAAGAATAATGATTTAAAATGTATGTAAAGAAAGCTGACTTTCGTATTATTTTTATGTCGGGTATTATTACTGATGTGTGCTTAGTATGTAATTAAAGATACTAATCATATGTTCTATACGAATGACATCTTAAGCGCTTGAAATTAAATTTTGTACCGTTAAATCATATAGTCGTAAGTAAATAATCACTGATAATAAGAATATAAATAGCAATTCGAATTCAACAGGATTAAATAATTTTTATCATAACTTAGTAAATCGATAAAAACATGTTAAACGGAAGACAATCAATATGTCATATTGACATAATATTAATAAGTACCTGGAACTGAAGTAGCAATTACAGTTGAAGTCATTGAAAGCTGGTTGGATGTTGTTGTTTTTGATGGCTTTATAGAAGATGGTTCTGTTCTGACAGAACTGAATATTTGTGATATTTGTGTCTGTGACATCTTGGTATATGTTGTCAAGAAAGGCGTCTCTACAGAACAGTACAAAATTTCATTGTGATTTATTGAAACAGTAGCTTACACTTTCACATTTTTACCTACATCAAAGATCTAAGCAATTAATGATATGGATATAATGAACTATCAATATTACATTAAAAAGCATTTGTCAAATAAATATTCAAGGCATTGTGCTAAATTATGTGACATTTTTCTTTCCTAAAAATATAATTCTGCATCAAAAATATGACACATTTTATATTGAAATATGTAGTTCCACGATACGATATAATAACCAATCCGTTATAGTTTCTTACAAAAATGTAAATCTACACCAGGATGATCTAACGAATCTGTAGTTTCTTGAATGGATGTTCACTCTGCCAAACACCGATGCAAAGCTAAGATTTTCATGACGGCGTCAAAGATGGCCGCCAAATTGCTAAACATTCAAGTTGGCTTATATCTCTTTTCGGTTTTGTAAAGATAATTGATATTTTACAAGCAATTTCTTATATTCAACTAACTCATGCAATATATTTTAACTTAAATGCCATGTTTCTAATGTTTATAGTTTAATCTTAACGAAATGAGCAAAATTATTAAATTCTTTATTTATTATGTCTAGCTTATCATTTTATTTTTGCTTAAACAGATCTCGTTTAATACAGCCACACATTATATGCAGTAATAAACGATGTCATATCTGTATAAATGTACTATTGTATTTATTTAACATCATATATGAAGTGGGTGGGGTAATACGAACGGGATTCATCGTTCACCTCTCTGTGGTGTATTTAAATAAAAAGTTATATTGAGAAAATTATAAAATATCTTAAATTGGTTTCCAATGACACGTCTTGCTGTTTATAGATAATACCCTGCATGGTTATCTAAATGTTTAAATACTTTTTCGCTCCATTATGCAAAAAGAAATTTGAACTTTTTTCACCTGTACTCCGGCATTTGCTTTGGTCTCGGGCTAGCACTTGGTAAAGGTGCAACACTTTGCTTCATATCAAGCAAAAACAATCATTCTTAATCTTCCGACATGTTCTTTGGATTGTAATTGTAAGTCACTGTCCAAAACAAATAACTCTAGCATGAATTTCGATAATGTGTTATCCCTTTATAAATTTAGAGAATTCGTTTAAAAAATCTCCACAACCACTAAAGGAATTCGCATGAAACTTAAAATGTGAATTAGAATAATAATTGTAGGTCACTGTACTCTTATATGATACTTTATTGAATTATAATCTTTAAGACATATATTGTATGTTATAAGAATTTCTGTTTTATCCAGGTACTTCTGTGAATATTGGAGCGTGCTGTTCGACCTGCAGCTTTTGTTTAAAGCTGCACGCCTCCAGATGAGCCAAATATTTCAGGAAAATCAATATTGAGAAAACTACATTAAACTTTTAAAGAAAGATAGAATCATCCAATATTTAAGTTATATTTACATGTTGTGTGCGGTTTAACACTGATTTTACAGTATTTCATCACCATATCCATACTGCGTTACTAACGCAGTAAGGGCTTTTTATATATATGTTGACCACTTTTTGGTAATTCTCGTGGATTGTAAGTGCCGATTGCAATATGTAAATTACTTTTAAATTATTTGTTTACCTTACATTATTTCACCTTTAAAAACATTTCAAAATTTTGTATGAAAATTAACAATCTGGAGGCGTGATGCTTTAAGGCAGTGAATTAACATTTATAATTAAGTTTGCGGTTGTTTTGTTACCATTGTTTTGAGAAGAATATAAAAGCTATCAAGGCTGTCATATAATCAAGATACAAATGTTATTTGGTAGACCATAAGAAGTGAGAGCAAGAGAGTACGGAGACAATGTAATCTTATTTATCAGTCAACCGATTGTATGAGAATTTTTTGAACAGTGCCACTAAAAGATGCGTCTCGTGTATCCTTTTCATTTTTTTTTTCAATACAGCGAACAGTTGAACATGGGTTTAAAACCTTGCATTTCAAAACGGGCAATAAACGTCAAAGAGATTTTGCATTTCATTTCCTTTCCAAATCAAGGTCATGTGTAAATTCCATTTTGTCTGAAGCAATGACCTTCAAAATTCAAGAAATAAAAAATCTACAAGCATCTATTTTTACATCAGCAATATCATTACCGTCAACATTGTCAAAAATAACCAAGAAACCTAATACCAATTCCTATGTTTAATGCGATTCATGAAATTGTTAGTCTATTTTAGTCTGGATTTGTAATATATGTAGATACAAATAACAAATTTTTTAGACAACTGTTCAGTCAACTTTTTTAAACTTTACCAAACATAACTAAATATTTAAATTCACAAAGTAAGGCTTTTAACGTATTGATTAAATAGAAGTGTTTTTGATACTGGTCAAATTCGCTATTACCTTTAAACAAATCATACTTATTTATTTTGTAAAACATGTTGTTTCAAAATTATTTATATGACGTAAAATATTGTCATTCTGAAAAACATGCAGACTACATCTACTAATAAATAGTAGGTGCGGTATGCTTTGACCAGTAATTCATTCAATAACCAAAATCAAATTACAAATGTTCTTGTTAATTATGTTTAATATAAGTTAAATGAATTGTTTTAGAGAGAAAACGAATATCCGTTCTAGAAACTACAGATCACGACAAACAATTTGGTATATAAAACCTGCTGTTGGCTGACATAGACCTCGATGTAATTTAATCCTATGAATTTGCAGCAATATTATTATGTCACAAATGAAACTTGTGGCGGCATGAGTGTTTGGTTAACTGATTGACTAATTCTGGAAGGATTTCTAGCTCCCGTCAAAGACAAGCTGTTGGTTGCTTGAACAAGAACTCTTACACTCATTGCTTAGTACTGTTTAATTCCAAGAACAAATTCATTCTAGAGTGTGTCTTTATGCTTATAGCCTACTACGCAATCGAATCAAAATATATTTTGTATAAACTAAATGAGAATAACCTTGACTTATGACACTAGACAACCAGTAACTCTCAGTCGGTAAAAGTTTGGTAGTGAATGATGTTGTAGAAGTCCGTGTAGTCATGGTAAATCCTGTAAAGAAAAGTCAATAAGTTATCCTTTGTGATAATTATTTATGAATGTTCACTACTGCAAATCATTATTATTTAACTAAATCCGTCAAGAAACATACCATATCAATCATTTTCATTTTGGTCGTTATGCGCTACGTCAGAGTTTCTCCCTGAACCATTTTAGTTATTGATACTTTATGTATTTTAGCCAATATAAATAATAGCATTTATTGAAAAATAACAAAAACGATGTCCTCAAGTCATATGTTCAGTTAGGTCGTTGATGAAAATGACCAGAACAGAACTAAAACAATGTGACATACTGATTAAAAAGTACATGAAGACTAGTATATCGATGTGTTTTACTTGATGTTTATTACAAAATGAACTGGAAGCGTACATATTTTATTAATTTCATTTAGGGATGGCAGGATCCTCTCGTTAACTGTAGCTACATATGTGGATAGAAAAAATACAAGTCTCTGTTAGGAGTCGAACACAGTGGTTATGAGACTGTTTACGAAATGAAACGAACAGGAGTGTCGATGTCAGAGCTTCACCATAATCGATCAGTTCAGCTTTATTATGTCAATCTAATTGATAACCGCTTGCTGAATTAAAAGCAAAAGAAGTTACATTGTATAAACATTAAGTTATTATTATATATTTAATACAATATATAATGGTTTACCATTTGATGAACACAATGCAGTTGATGATGGTTTCCAACTGTTGCTTCTGCACATAAATGTAACGCTTGCATCAAATGTATACATAGAGGAACAAGAAATTGTTGCGTACGCAAATGTGTATCCGAAATAACAAGCTCTTCCATTTTCTACATAGAGCTTTTTATGACACGGCTCTAAGAAATCTGTAAGAAATGTGAATATTTTCAGGTAAAAGGTTCTTTCAATGCTTAACATTAACCTTAAATAAAAGTTTTTAAATAAATGTACAAATACAATGTCCGTGAGCATTTAATACTGTAATTTTCGGTTTGTCAAGATATGTCATGTCCTTCAAACATCATAGTTGAAGGGTAATGATACATGATCCATAAATATTAAACATTTTCCCGTTCCTTCGTAGGAAACAGCGTTCCAAGACACTGTATGAAATGGTCCGACACTAAAACTAAATATGCAAGATATGATCACATTTAAATACGGTATTTATTTTTTATAACACTTTCATCTTAAGTCATTCTGATGCACATTGATGTTAAATAAAGGTTAAATTTGACGTCGGTACAGGTCACATACGTAATTTAAGAATCCTGATATACTGTATAATTTTATGAATAACAGAAATTTGTGAATAATTTCATGGATTAAACTAAAGGCATGTAAAACTATAGACATTTGTGGACTATAGGCATGTATAAACTATAGAAATTTATAAACCTTAGGAATTTATAAACTATAGAAATTTGTGAACCATAGGCATGTATAAACTATAGAAAATTGAGTAACTATATAAATGTATATACTATAGGGATTTATGAACTATAGGCATGTATGAACTATAGAAATTTGTGGACCATATGCATGGTTATACTATACAAATTTGTGAACCATAGGAATGTATATACTATAATAGAAAAATTACTAACCATAGGAATGTATAAACTATAGAAATTTGTGAACCATAGAAATGTATAAACTATAGAAATGTGTGAACCATGTGACTGTATAGACTATAAGGATTTGTGAACTATAGGCATGTATAAACTATATACATTTGGGAACCGTAGCCATGTATAAACTATAAAAAATTGTGAACCATAGGAATGTATAAACCATAGAAATTTATTAACCATAGGATTGTATAAACCATAAAAATTTGTAAACTTTAGGAGTGTATAAACCATATAAATTTATAAACTATAGAAATGTATAAACTAAAGGAATTTGTGTACCATAGAAATGTATAAACTATGGAAATTTGTGAACCATAGGAATGTAGAAACTAAAAAAATATATTATTCATAGGAATGTATAAAACGTAGAAATTTGTAAACTATAGGAATGTTTAAACTATAGAAATTTGTGAACCATAGGAATGTATAAACTATAGGAAATTGTGATTTATATGCATGTAAAAACTATAGAAATTTGTTACCTAGATGCTTTTGTGAAATATGACAAAAATGCTTCACGTGTGCCTTAAATACCGCTCTACTTTGTATCATCATGTAAGTCATGATAATATACATTAGTATTGATTTTGAGTTCACCCGACCAGAAGTCCTAGGCGAGAATTGCATGACATCATTAGCAAAAACAGTTCTTCCACACATGGTTCAAAACAAAGAGATCATATAACAAATAGGGGAACTTACAAAATGACACAAAGATCAACAAGGGCAACGTTCACAGGACGCAGCCAAGTCATGTTTGGCTGGCGTTATCATGCCAATATCAAAATTATTTAGCTTGATTTAATGACTTTGATTCCAAAACATAGAGTGGCCGAGTTGTTAACACGTCGAACTAGTAATATAAGGATTTCCGGTCGCGTGGGTTTAACCTGTCAGGGGAAAGACGTTTTTTTCCGTGACCAAGAAACATTACACTCATTGCTTATTACTGGTTGGTTCCAGAAACGGATTCGAGAGTGTTTCATGTACAGACTCAATCAAACCGATTTGCATTTACAGTAGAATCCCTACTAAAGACCACCTCGGATTTAAGACTACCCCGCTTTTAAGACCAGTTTTTAAAAGAACGGAATTTTCTGTTCTTTATGTCAATGGTTACATGGTCCAGAATTAAGACCACCTCACTTATCCACTTTTAAGACGACCAAATTCAGTCCCAATTCATTATTTTGTTCTTTATTTGACCTCACTACTGAGACCACTGATATTAAAAGCAACAGCTTCCTAGATCTAAAATGTGTTGTTATACGGTCACGTGATGTAGTGGCAAGACATGAAATTTGAACTCTCCATATTTCGGAGTAAAAACTGGAAATTTCGCAAAAAGTGGATTAATTTTTTCATTAATTTGTTGGTGAAAAGATACTAATACTTTATCTACATGCCTGCTAAGAATAATTTGTCACAAAAAGACTCAACAAAGAAAAATAAACGTGGTAAACGAAAGGTTATCTCGCCACTTTACACGGATACGAACACGGACAATACACGGGATATTGATCAACACGCACAAAGTGGACAAACAGGTTATTGTGTCGGACAGTCATGTGTATCTGATGTGAGTATTCAAAACAAACGTTTGCATACTTCTTCTCCTGAACATTTCATATTTGATATCAACAAAATGCAAAATGAAAATTTTACTGGACAAAATGTGGCTACAAATGTTGCGACATTTACCAATCCACAATACGGGAATATATATTAAATGCTATTAAACAAAGAATTTTTGATCAATACACCCAGTTTTGGTACAGTGAAATTAATAACTCACAGAGACTTCTAACTTATAGTAGATTTAAACATTCATTTGAACTTGAATCATATCTTGATAATTATTCGATAGACAAAAAATTCAAAATAGCACTAACTAGGTTTCGTCTGTCATCACATAACCTAGAAATTGAACGAGGAAGGTATAATAATGTAATAAGAAGTGAAAGAATATGTCAATTTTGTAATCTAAATGTGGTTGAAAACGAATATCACTTCCTATTAACTTGTCCATTATACTCAAATATTAGAAAGAAATATCTGAGACGTAATTATTATACATGGCCATCTTTAAATAAATTTGATCATTTGATGATGACAAAAAATAAAAAAGAAATAGCAAATCTCTCGAAATACTTATACTTTGCAAATAAACTTCGAAAAGAACTTGAATAACTAATTATCAGCTTTCATCTAGTTTTTCTTGAAAAAAAAAAAAAAAAAAAAAAAAAAAATTATTTCATATATTTTATTTTTCCTTTTTTACATTTTGTACTTAATAATTTATTCCAATTCTGACTGAACAAAACAGTTTCTCTCTTAAATTACTGTTCTTGTTTATTTGTGACTTTTCTCTTGTCTTATGGTAGTGTTTATATTTCATGTGTAACTACTACAGATGTTAATATGTAGGCTAGAAGTGATGTTAGATATTGCTTTATGCTGAATAAATGTTGTTGTTGTTGTTGTTGTTGTTATGTTCTTATTATCTGCTTGATTGCTCTTAGGCATGACACTTGATTACACAAGGTGTCAAAAACTGTTATTTATGGGATATTTAATAAAAAAAGGTGAGAATGTTAATTTCATAGTGGTTTAATGTTGCTTTATGCACATTTGTTTTGTGAAGAAATAATGTCTGATATGATATGTGAATCATGTATATCATAAAATATTTACTATTGAAATCAGAACAAAGAAAATTTGATATTAAATTTCTTCAGAAATATATATTCTTCCCATTTGATGTAACATTATAACAGACTTTTATATTGTATCTGCAGGTTAAGATACATATTGTTTGTTCATACAAAATGAGTAAAATAGGCCCTGGTCATAACATTTGTAAGCAATGATAAGAATATCCACAATTAAGACCACCCCACAATTAAGACCACTTTGGTCCAGTCCCGATGGTGGTCTTAATTGAGGGTTTTTTGTGATTTATGATTCTGAGGGTTCACACTTTCCAGATTCCAATAACCTTATGGCTTCCGACACAATCGAACTAAAACAAACTGAAGCACTTTTAATTTTATTTGATAGGTAACATGTTGTGTATATTTGTTTTAATGACAGTCCATCAAAGGATAATTATAGTCAATGTTCTTCTAACATTGAAAAGTGTGTATGAAATACACTATTAGTGTTCCTTCTACCCGTCTTTATGGGATTTACAGGAAATTGGTTTTGGTAAACTTGTTGTTTTTTTTTTACAACAAAAAAAACAAACTTTTAATTTATTGCTTCCGTTTTTATCTATTCACTTACAGCTTGCCAGTTCTTCTGTTAAACAAGTCTCAGCTTTCACCTGTCCATCATTATCTAAATAAAAAAATACATTTTCGATGTTGTAAAACTTTATGATATTTTTAAGTACCATTAAAACATTTAAATTTTGCCACGTCATGCATTATTTCAAACTACCACGGCCACTTATAAAAATTGAATACATAATGTCGACGCAAATATGTTAAATATGTCTTATTTAACAAGTGATTAAGTTATTCATATTTTACGATCAACATAAAATATCAAGCTATAAAACAAATAAAATAAAGAATAAGTCTGAAAAATGACAGAATTTTCAAATGTTTATACCGCTTATAAGTAGTTTGGTTTTGAATAGCAAAATTCAAAAGCTATATACTTTTTAAAATAGCAAGGCAATATTTAATTATCATTAGGAATGTAATGATGCTGTAATATGATTTTTCGCAGTATGTCTGCAGTTACCTATATTTACCATGCCCATTTAAGAAGGAACTTCGTGGAAATATGAATTCTGTGAAGAAATGACGGTTATTTATCATTTGATTTTAAAAAAAGTAATTTAAATTTGTACTTCCGCCTCAAACTAAATTACTTTTGTGTTTCTTAAATTTTTACTTTTCCATCTACTATAACATATAACTAGAAAACAAAATAAAATTGCACTTCTTCTCTAATTATTGTCATTTCTAGATTATTTAAGGTTTTATTGTTAGATATGATTCATAACAACCGTCTGACGCTTCAAAGTTTAACAAAATAAAAACATAATATATGTTGTTTAATGCATTTATCTATGGTTTACGAATGAATGTAATCATGGAAAAGTAAAACAAATTATTCTTACCCAAAAATGAAATAAATGTCATTATTACAGTAAAATAAACCGAAACCTCCATGTTTATTGACTTGTTAACTCAAAGTTCTTATTAAACAACTTGAATTCGGATGTTCGAATGAAAAACGTAAGAGAATGTTTTGGATATTTTAACTTCCTTAATTTTCTATTTTATCTGTACAAATTCACAATTTCAACTTTCAGAATTCACGATTTTAATATTTTTATCCAATATCAATAAAATTGCTATCATGGGTATTTCCACGCATGAACTATCACATATTATAAAGACGTTTAAACGTTCGAACAAAACACAACGATTTGTATAAGGAGATACGAGCCGTGTCATGACAATACCAACATAATATTGATATATTTGAATTAATGTTCTTCTTGGTCATTACTTGTTACCGTTTAAATGTGCAGCATAATACACAGCATATCTGAGCTATATTCAATATACATATGAGCCGTGTCACAACAAAACCAACATAATGGGTTTTGCGACCAGCATGGATCCAGACCAGCCTGCGCATGTTATTGGGTCTGTAAGCGAACAGCATGGATCCTAATCAGACTGCGCGGATACATGTAGAGTAATGTGTTTTATCTACGCTCGTAAATTTTGAACCGGTATAATGTTTATTTGTTATTTTAAATGAATTTCAAGCATGTTAACGTGGATTTTCATTTGAGCCATATATGTACTACTATTCACGTACTACTAAAGTCTGTTAAATGTTATATTTTTATTGCTACATTGTGAAATATTCTTTAAGACATATTACATGACCTAGTCTTAAGCCGGGATTTTCATTGGCTAAATTGCCTAAAATACTACTTCCCAAGGGAAAATACTTAAGGAAAAATGGTAAATATAAATAAAAGAAACCAACAACACAGTAAAGCTAAACTTTTACAAATTCACTTTTTATGCGGAAATTATGTAAAGACTGAATTATCACGTTATGGGTGGCATTTTGAAAATGCATTGGTCTTAGAAATTTTCAACAACATATAATGCTGTACATTTATTTGTAAATGCTTTAACCGAGAAAGATATTGCATAAGCATACGCCCAACGTCAATTATCGTCAACATTTTATCCACAGACGAAGAATTATAAATGCCGATATCAATTCTATAGCAGCACGCAGTATTATATCCAACAAACATACGTTGCATCTGATGTCACAATATAAAAAAAAATGTTTTCATCTTCAGGTAGACCACTTCTAATGGGCACTATAAGGAATTGTAAAATTGACAGCATAGGACAGTTATATGCCTTAAAGGTCACCTGTATACGAAATTTAAATAAAATTTACCATGTGGTTTATTAGTTATGGACATTTTTGTGAACTAAAACTTTGCTATTAGAAGGGCTTTCTTCAGAAATAAGGAAACTCTAAAAATAATTTATAATATCATTATTATAAAATATGTTTTCTTTTTCCTCATTGTTAAGAAACTTATAATAACATTCAGGTAATTAATTACACGAGCAAAATGATTGCTTCCAAACAAAATATTTTCAATACATGTATGTATAAAAATGATACCCTACCCCAACTACTTTAAACACCTTTTTAATCATTTCCCTATATAAAAGCCTTATTCAAAATATCGCTTAAAATTACCACAATAAGGGGCTGTTTTTAAAGTTTGCTAAAACAATCAAGAAGTATATTGGTTACTCTTGCAAAATATAAAGTACTTTTACCGTGTAGTTTTTATTTAGTTATTATTAAACATTGAAAATATCTGGTATCATACGGGGAAGTCAAAAGCCAGAACCGCCAGGGCTTTGGGTTACCCGGCTATATACTACACGGGTATATCTTAAAGAAAATCAAATGAAAGAAAGTCAAATAAAAAAGTAATTAAAAACATATAGAATTTTATACCGCCATTTTCAATGTAACTCAAAGATAATAGGCGGGGTATTCCGATAACGGAACAGATCTCAACTTTTCGGATTGATAATAATCGTAGAGTCTTCCGAGAGAAGAATGAAATACCGAATGACACCTTTAAACGGAAAAATGAAAGGTTTTTTATTACCGACTTCCCCGTTGATAGGCTTTGCCTAACTTCATATTATTTACTATTAAATTTAGCATTTTTTAAAATTAATACCTACCATAATTATATACTTAAAATCAAACACCTTTTTCTTCCATACGGGATCTGAGGGATACATAAATAGTGTTAAAAAGAAAGCAAAAAAAGTTGCCACTTTTGGGATTTGAACACACGCCCTTAAGTTTCAATGCAGTTGACAAGTGAATCTAGCCTATTTGAATACTCTTCAAAATGGAGATAATGCATAAGCACTGGTCTACCTTAATCGAGTTCAATCTCCTACTCAGTGATCTCCCCTTATCAGTACATAGATCTCTGCCACCAGGGTCCGATATATCAGAATTTCTGATAGTTTATATTTTTTAGGTTGTAAATTTATTTTTCATTATTTTGTATATTTTTGATATTTTTTTGATAAAATATAACGAACGTAGGTACGAAAAGTTAAAAATAAAACAGAGAGAGAAAAATGACGTTAGATTTTCTATGTAATGGTCGATATTTACATTTGAATTTCGACGTTACGTCATGTGACTTTCATCATCATGTTACGTCTGCGAAGGCAGTGATTACAATCTGTGAAGGGGGGGGGGGTCACTGTGAGGGGACGTTTTTAT